TAGGGATGAGAAATGAGAAGAAGAGGTTTTTTTTCTTTCGTGTAATATCAGAGAAGGCATTAAGTTACTGTAAATGCTTATACTTGTTTGGAGGGAGGGGGGAGTCATTTTTATAAGTCTTTCTCCTCTTTCTTTGTCTCTTAATATTTCTTTTTTTTTTTCTTTTTTGTTTGTACCTCTTTTTAGTTTTGTATTAGCTTCAATAAAAAAAAAAATATTTATTTATATATCTATATCTATATCTATATCTATATCTATATCTATATCTATATCTATATCTATATATCACTAATATCCTTTGATTTACCAAGGTCAGGAGTTCCATATATTCACATGAGGGCTGATCTGAATACCCATGAAAGCCCCATAGCCTTGAAACCTGTGAAAGCCCCAGGAAGATCAACCTTCCCGTTAAGGAAGCTTCAGAGAGTACCTTCCTCTGAAATTTAATTTAATTATGGTTCCTGGCCGTACAGAGGCTTTTACTCATATTCAAGCTAATTTGAGTTGAACTTTCCACTCAATACATGAATCTTGGAGGCCGGCTATAGGCGCAACATTTTCCTTCTGTGTGTTTGCATTGAAGCCTGTACCCAAGTCTCTTGACATGCTATACCTTACTGGTCTGCTGGAAGATGACAATAATTTTCCACCTGCAGATTTTCAGCCTTCGCTTGAGAACCATGTCTCACTGACCTGTTTAAAAGCATTCTACAAAATCTTTTACCCATGATAGGTAGTCTCAAATGGCAAAGCAAGTTCTGGATTTGAGTTCTAACTCATTTCCACATTCTGGGATTGCTTCCCCAAATTGCATGTCATTCTTGCACAGAAGCCCTGCTAATCTTCTCCGTATCATTCCACTTTTAGTTTATGTGCTGCCAAATGTTTCAGCAGTTTCTACTTATCTGCAAGAAGTTCCATTACTAGCCCTTGATTATGGTAAAATACTGTTTCTATTATACCTTGTTTTGGGCATTTGGAGAGAGGCTGAGGACAGCGTGCTGAACTTGATACGCACATGAACTTGAGGTCTTATAATGGGGTGCCTTCTACAAGGAAGCACCGTAGACATCACATCTCTCAGTAAAGTCCACAGGTATCCTGGGCTTAGTGCACGCACTTGTGTAAAGATAGATATGGCAGTGCACTACTTCCCTTTTTCATTATTTATTTATTTATTTATTTACTGGATTTCTCCCCCCACCCATCTCCCCCACAATAGGGGACTCTTGCTTTTATGATCCTTTTTACCCCCTCCCAACTCTTCTCTAGATAATAAGAATAGGTGTGGGCGTTTGGATTTCACTGTCCTGCTATAAAAGCTATGAGAACCTTTGAGATTAAATTCTTTTAACATTTTCATGTAATAACAGATTAAAACAAAACAAAACCCTGAATTCATTCTCTCTCTCTCTCTCATTCCCAAACACACACAAACAAATACACACAGACACACACACACCATTCCCAGGAAAAATGCTGCTATGCTTGCTCTGATCCTTTCTGAGGCAATAGGTTATGAATCTTCAAATCTCATAGCCTGCATACATACCTGGCAGCAAGCAAGCAAGATAGGTGTGGGAGCATTAAAAGCAGGGATATGGGCCTAAAAGTCTTGGAGATATCCCCACCCCATCCTTGGTGAAGGTTTTGAAGCCAGCTGAAATTTCTGGCAAGCCTTGTTTTTCATGTTGTTTAAGAGGCACAGAAAACAAAGCAGACCTTTTCAGAGTGTTTAGCAGGAATGTCAAAGACCAAGGAGTTATTCTAGATCAGTAAATTTTGGATTATGAATTTAGCTATTAGCATTTTAACGGATGCCATTATTAAGGGCCCTGCAGAATTTAAGGCTTGCTGATCAATATTTGCAACTTCTTTCTTTCTGGAGTCTTGCAAAGGGGTATACTTTAAGTGCTGAATGGCCACAACTCTGTGCCACATATATATTTATAAGCAGGTGACAGTCATAGATTTGTGTCATTTTAGAAAATTGCTATACAACTTATACATTTTTCATCAGAGTGAATGTTTTTGTCAGTGTTTTAGTTGTCCCTCAGGAACATAATGATACAGTGAGAAATGCAATCACCAAGTTTTTAAAAAATATTTTAATGATCTTGTTATTTTATTATGCACATTTTTCATTGTGCTTTCTTTCTTTTTTTCTTTAAAAAAAAGTTATTTCCACAAAAGATGAGGATCAAAGGAAAGGGCAGTTCTTTCCTCCATTTTTTTCCCAACAAAAGCCAGCCATAGATTAATTTCTTGGTGTTTTCCCTAATCTCAGACTACTAATAATAGGGGGAGGGGGAAGACACACAGACACACAGACACACAGACACACACAATATTAATACACTGAATATAAATCTGCAGATTTAGAGTCAACATTCCCTTTTCTCTAAAGAAAAATATAATCTATTACTTTATCCCAAAAACTCAGCAGTCCAGGACGTGAATTATACACAGTAGATTTATCATCCATCTGGCTAAGGTAACAGCTTACCTGGTTCCAATAAAATAAAGGTTACGCTGGAATGAAGAAGGGGGGAAAAAAAGCAGCAGGGTGGATTCTAGGAGATAAATTTATAATATGCACACAAATCAGCTGAAATAAATTTAAACTCAAGCTCTGAATATTAATTACCTTTTCACAAATACTGTAATAGGTCACAGAAAGCTTATTATAAACGTGGATTAAGGTTTCTTGCTCGGCCTGCACATTTGGAAATGCCTGTGCTAAGGTGAACAGAGTTTGCCCTCCATTATCAGACTTGCTGGCTCTTTAGTCTTGTATTTGTCTTGTAATGTAATAATTGTCTTGTTGTAAAAGATTAAAGGCCGTTTAGTTCAACTGTTCTTCTGGTCTTTGCTTTCCTCTTTCAAAAACCGTTTTTTAAAAAAACTGCCTCGCTCACTTCTCTCCGCTATTCCCAGACCTTACCTGTAAGTACAGAGAAAACTCTGAGTGTGGTTGATTTGTGCAATCGACCTTCCCTTCTTCCATCTCTTTCTCCTGAGCCTACCATGAAGCTGGCCCAGAAGCTCCATCAATCCTCCAAATTATCGAACGCAATTCCACCCGTGGAGTTCGTTCTACTGGAGGTGCAGCATTCTTTAATTCAGAAAGATTTGGGGCACCAACAGGCATGGTTCGTTCAAACTAGGGTAAGTGCATAGGTTGGGCTATTAATACGTTGCAAATAAATGATTACTTTGTCTTCCATGACGAAGCCAGATCTTTTAAAAAGCCATTTCTGTTTATAGCAATCACATTATGTGCCAGTAGCTCCCATATGCTAATGGTTTGTTGTGTGAAAAAATGCTCTATTTTTTTTTTTTTTTGTCCTGAAACTACTGTCAGTCAATTTCATTGGATGACTGCCAGTGAAATTCTCCTGAGAGGAAGAAGAATTTTCCCCCTATGTTGTTTTCCCACATTCATTGCATTGTATAAACTTTCTCATCCGACAATCCCATACTTTTTGGATTTCTGTGTGTTTAAGAAATGAAGGGAGGCTCTTGTGAATTCATTTATGCACCAGAAAGTAGGGAAATTAGAAATGAAGGAATCCACCTGCCATGCTATTCTTTAATAAATAAATAGCACAGGGCTACTTGTAGAGATGACCTTGGATAACTAGGCAGAGAGAATGGTTACATAAACAAATGGATGTGATAACCCTGGGAAACAGAGGAAGCATGAGAAAGAAGCTCAGATGGGCTGCACCCTAATTCACAAGGGTACAAGAGGGAGGGAAGGGAAGGGAAAACACAGTCAGGCTTTCAAGATGCTGTTACTGTAGGCTATCTCAGTCAAAAGTCAAAAGTCAAATGCTGCCAGACCTGGCCTGACAAATTCTACAAGAGTGCTAGAGGGAAGCAAAGGATTAGCAGTTTTCTCACTGTTGCCATCTAGTGGCTGTCTGGATTTTTTGCTCTAACAGCTACAGCAGAAGTGGTGAATTTACCCTCATTCACTTGTCAATAAACATTCAGGGGATACAACTCAGTAACATAAAAGCTGAAGGAGGGTGCCAACTTATGTACAAACTTGGTTTTGGAGGGCATCTTCCCTTTATTGTTTCATTTCATCCCCTATTGGCTTCTGAAGTTACGTGCTTGTTCACTCTGCCAGGAATCAATCAATCAATCAATCAGTCAGTCAATCAATCAATCAATCAATCAATCAATCAATCTCTCCCCCCCTCATTTTTTTCTCTCCTTTTTTTTTTTCATTTTCTTTTCTGTGAACCTACTCTCCTTGAAAAGAGTTGGGTTGGTTTATTGAAAGTATCTGTCCATTATACTGAAAAGTGGCCTCATAAATCTCTTAATTACCTCACAGGATACCCAGACAATACCATAAGCCATGTAATCATGATTTTTTTTTCCCTTTAATAAAGAGTATATTTTGGCTGGAAAGAGAGACACAAACATTAGGATGCCTATAACTGAACTACAAATATTTAAACTCTATAAAACAACAATTTTTCATTAGAATTTTCTCTACTTCACCCAATTATAGTTTACCAGATACATGCACTATGCCAAATTTCATCCTGCTGAGAGAAATCTTGATTTCAAAAAGAAATACAATATTCAGGCTGTATCATGACATGAAGCTGAAACGATTTTACTTTTTTAATCTATGAAGGCCAAATAAATATTTAAAACCAATATGTCTGGGCTCCCACCATCCCCGCCTTTCTGCAAAAAATATTTCTTCCTAGCTGAGAGTTGAGTCTGAAAAAGAGTGGCTTGTGTGAGCCCATGCCTTTGGAATGAAGAGATCTCAGACCATAATTAATAACTTTAACTACTGAGCTACCTCACAAGAACATAAGGAGAGCTTCTCTATGGGACGTTCACTAAGAGAGCAAGAGTGCAATTATTCCTCAACAATTAGTATTATCCATCATTCTATAAGCGTGTATGCATGCAGACACAGTGGAGCTAAACACATAAAAGATAAAATCTCTTTGAGTCATGCTGATTCCTGATGATTATATGGACGCAACCATCAAGGCTTCTTGGTGGCAATATACAGTAACTGTTTTTGACTTTCTAGTCTATGCTACAGCCCTGGTGTGCTATGTTGATGTCCCATTAGCTATAGATCTCCCCTCCAAGTACTGACCAGGCCTGACCCTGATTAGCGTCCAAGCCCAAACCAAGCTGTCTAGGTGTTGTCACCTGCTTGGAGAGTACTCATGCACTGATCCCATATTTCTAAATTATACTGTTGGATAATTTAGGTCCTAATTAGATCTTGACAGCTTACAAATATGACTTCATTCCATCCTAACAATATTCACTAGAGGCTTACTTATTCATGAGCCTTCTAGAAGGGTGGCAGTAAAAGTCACTTTAATTTACATTAAAGGAGAATTAGTCAAAGACACTAATCCCCTGTGAATTCATCCCAGTAAAGACTGGGTCTCTACTGTATTGGATTGCATTTTCAGATGAATGACAGTCTTGACATATCTATATTCCTTGGTTATGTTTCTTGAACATCAAAACCTAGAATTTACAGTATAATTGCTCTAAATGGATCTCTATAATGAAGAGGTTTCATAATATTAGAAATGTCTCTCGACAGTCAACCTGCACATGCAAGTGGAAACCTGAGTTTGCTTAACATGCTGGGACTGGGTTAGATTTCTTCATGCAGGGAGCAATTTAAAGTTATAATGATGCTAAAGTTTCACTTTCTAATGTCAATCCCATACTTGACACTGAACCCAAGAAGCTAATCATATTGTTTCATAGATTTTATTGTCATGTTCTATATTTTGTTACTTTGTTTTAATGATTGTAATTAGCCTTGGGTGGTTTCATAAGAAGAGGATATACAGTAAATTATACACACATACACAGCAATGGTAGG